AACAACCAAAAAAAAAAAAAGAAAAGAAAGAATACAATATTCTCTCTCTTTTTTCTTATTGGCTGATTTATTTTCTCTTTCTTTCTCTCTCTCTTTCTCTTTCTCTTTTTCGTTTTCTCTCTTTTTCTCTCTTGACAACGACGACAAAAAAATTTTACTACACTGCTGTGTATGTGTCTGTGCTTGATAGGTTGCCTACTGGAGTCATTATTGCAGTATCAATAGCTAGATCCTGGTGAGCTTATAGGCACCGTACGACGCACACCTCTCCCTACAAGTTCTCAATCCTGTGGAGCATTGCAAAAAAACCGACAAGTGCCAACCCCTATCGAGATTGTTGACAACAAAAAACAAAAAAAACGACAAATCGCACAGTAAGTAATTCACGGCATGAGAATAATTATGAAGTTTATCTCTTTGATTTAAAAAAAAATTTTCACCAGCTGATCTGATCAATGTTTGATCCAACAAGTCCATCTGTTGAAGTTACTGGTGGCACAGGTGAAAGTACAAATAATACAACAACATCATCATATCCAAGTCCATATGCACCAGTTACATATCGACCATTAACATCAACTCCATCGTCATCATCAATTTTTCATGTACCCGGTTCAACATCACTAAACTCACTTGATGATCAACAACGTCGAACAGATTTTTCATCTTATCCAGGTACATCACCACCATTTTCAACGACACAAGATCCATTAGCAGCTTCAAGTTTCATGTAAGTTTTAAATTCAATTGTATATATCTATATATATATACCTTTATTGAAACTATATAGGACATATCCTATGTTCGATCCCGAACAGTATGCCAATACACAATATTATTCACGTTATGTTACAGCTGGTTCACATATTGATCCAACAACGCAAACAGCATTTTTACCTTATTTTCATCCTTCATATCGACAAGGACTTGGTACAACATGTAATGTTACAAATATTTCAAATGGTAAAAATGACAATTATGTATGTAAATGGATTGATCCTGATACACATCGAATATGCAATCGAGCATTTGCCTATATGCAAGACATTGGTAAGTTAAATATATACATCCAATCATAGTATTTTTTTTTAATGAAAAGAAAGAAAGAAAGAAAGAGAGAACGAAACGAAAGAAAAAGAAAAACGTCGGAAGTAAATCTCCTGTGGTGCTACTGAAATAATGATGAGGTTAAACAGATGACAAAAATGTGTGTATATATGTTCTGTTCACTAAATAAATGAAGCTTGTTAGTAAAGACATAATAATCATGGCATTTTGTCCTTCGATTTTCTTCTTTTAGTCACACATCTTACTGTTGAACATGTGGGCGGGCCTGAACAATCAACACACACATGTTTATGGCTTGATTGTCCTAGGCATGGTAGAGCATTTAAAGCTAAATATAAATTGGTCAATCATATTCGTGTGCATACCGGTGAAAAACCATTTGCTTGTCCATTTGCACGTTGTGGAAAAGTTTTTGCACGTTCAGAAAATCTTAAAATTCATAAACGAACACATACTGGGTTAGTGTATTGTTGAAATTTTTCTCATACAAATATCAATATATATAATATTTTTATTAGAGAACGACCATTTCAATGTCAATTTTGTGAACGAAGTTTTGCTAATAGTTCGGATCGAAAAAAACATCAACATGTTCATACATCAGATAAACCATATAATTGTCGAGTAAATGGATGTGATAAAACCTATACACATCCTTCATGTAAGAAAACAAAAAAAAATTTATGTTTTATTTGGAAAAACCAATATCTTCTGTTTACTTGTTAGCTTTACGTAAACATATGAAAATGCATGAATCACAGGGACAAGATTCAACATCATCAACAACAACAACAACAAATTCTTCAACTGGATCAACAAATGATTCATGTATGAAACGAAATAATCTTCATCGACGTGCAGGAGAAAGTGAACGATCTCCATCACCATCATCAAGAATGCATCATCATTCACAACGACGTCGTCGATCATCTCGAGACAGTATTAATACTCATCTTCATCATCTACAACAACAACAACAGCAACAGCAACAGCAACAACTTCAAACAAATCATTCATCAATGAATACAACAACAACAGATAGTTGTTCAGAATCACCACCATCATTTGAAAATCTTACACCAATGAAAGCTGCTTTAGCACGTATGCATCATCCACAAATACAAGCAGCTCCACCAGCAACATCAACAGATTGGCCATTACATATGCATACAATGAGTGCTTATCATCATCCACACGTTTATCATCCACATCATGCTGCTGCTTTACAACAACATTATTATCATCGACAAACAGGACTTAATTTTTGACTAATTCTTATAAATATTATATGTATTTGGTGTGCATGTGTGTTTGTGTGTGTGTGTCGCATTACTTGAACTTTTTCTTTTTTTTTTTTTGTTCGTTTGCTTTCATTTGAAAACACGTATTTTTTGCTTGTTATTACACAAAAAAGAATTTTATGAGTTTAAGGAAGAAAAGAGACATTTGAGTCTATTTGATATATATGTACAATATAAGTGGGAAAAGTGAGAATGATTATCAATCGGTTCATTTGACACTAAGATGTTCGTTCATCTAAATCAACAAACACTAATAACATGATGAGCTTAACATTGAATGTCTCCACCCTCGAAATCATGCATACAAACGACAACAACATATTGTCAGGTTGTTATTCTTGTTTTTTTCATTCCAATTGAATGAGTTGAATACAACACATCCCCATTCATATAATAATTACTTTTTTTTTTTCATTTCGTTTTCTATTTTATTCGATGCGAACGGATCAAACATACAATCGAATATTGAAATAAAACTTTCTTCTTATCGGTAGCAAGAGACCTCCTGGCGAGAATTCTTTCTCTCTCTCTCTTCGCACCTATTGATTTGCGTATATATACATATAGTCTATTGTTCTTCGAACTAACCTTAGTAGGGTGCCACGTCTATACAGTCGGCCGTTCAATTACTGAACATTGACATATACAACAAGAACAAAAAAAAACGAAGTAGAAGAAGACCACACAGAGTCTGATGTCATCCTTGACGAAATTGTATATATGTCTTATTATCCTATGTAATCAATTTTTCAATTGTCTACTTATATAAATATATATGTCATCTATTTTAGGAAGAAAAGAACATACGAGTGGAATGCCATCACTTTTATCGATTTGCTAGAAGGAAGATGATCATCATCATCATCATTTTCCACTGCAGGATGCGCTAATTGTTCAATTTGTCTGTCTATATATATATATGTATGTGTGTGAGAAAAGCTCTTCACAAACACTAGGTGGTGACAAAACTCAAATTAGAACCTCATTTACGCTCAAAAAGAAAAGAAAAAGAACTTTTCCTTATTTTTAATAATCAATCAATACAATGCTTGACAGATGCCTTCTTACCTGTTGAAAAGAAAGAGAAAGAAAAAAAGAAAACATACTTTTCACACCTACTTCTTCAAAGATGAAAGACCCCATATGTATCGTACATTAAATAAGTTTTCTTTCTTTTTTTTTTTATTTAAATGAAATATACAATAGGAGATAATATTATTGAGATTTTTGGTTTTTAAATAAATACAGACAAACGACAAAAACAAGGAAGTATGAGATTATAGGCACGAATAATAGATATATAGGGATGACCATTCATGCAATGACTATGGACATCTGACCGAAAATCATTTGAGATTTGAATAGATGTATATATATATATATTGAATTTACTTCTTTCCACGACGACTTAAAATAATTGCCGCTAGAAAAAAAAAAAATTGGTAAAATTTAAATTATAAAAATTCATACATTCAATTAACTTACTAATAATAATCAAAATAACACTAATGACAATGCCAGCAATACAAACATTTGTCTAAATTTGAAATATTAAAAAAAAAACAAACATAAACTCAATATTCTTTACTTTAGCATTTTTCCACCAATATTTTCGTCGTAATTGTTTTGTTGTTTGATTATATGTTGTAGCTGATGTTTCAAGATCATCAGCACGTGTCATTAAATTATTTAATGCAACATCACGATCTAATAATTTATCGATATTCTTTTTCATAACACCAACAACTTCTTGTACTTGACCATGAAGTCTAAGAAAATAATAAATATATAAAAATTACGTATATAAAAAACTTTTAAGATGTATTTACTTTTTAACACCACCACTTGCAGTTGAACGTGTAGTATCCCTAAAGAAAAAATTTTTGAAAAATCTAGCAATCTTATGAATATCAAATGCTAACTTACGAATCTATTTGAATGTCAAGTGCATCATCATCATCATCTCGAATTGATGACTAAAATGAAAAAAAAAGTAAATTAAAATTAACAGAAAAAGTATTTTTTATTTTTTTAAAATGAAATACGTCTTTCAAAATCAAGGTCAGATTTTTATTGTCAATAAGAACTATTTGACGATTGATTCATAATAAACAAGAAAAAATATTTTCCTCTTTTTAGAGTATTTCCTATTCTACAAAACTATTATTTTTATTTTTTTAAATAACTTCTTTTGGCAAAGCAAAATTTAAAAGAATGACCATCTACTCAATCGTCTACTTGTGATTTGTATAAGCCATTGTTCATCAGAACCGATATTTTGTCTTGTTTATTATACGCTACGTGTTACATTTATATCGTATAGATTATTTCTAAATTTGAAGACAATTTTAATTATAAAATAAAATACTTACATAAGTTTGAGGACGTGTATAACCTGCTGTAGCCATTTGTTTTAATATGAAGATTCAAATAAAAACAAAAATTTAATATTCGTCTATATTTTTTTTTTCTATAAAAGAAAGTTCATTATCTAAAAAACAAACTGATTTCAGAAAAAAAAAATGTAAACTTATGTTCTATGAAAAGAAAAAAAACAACACATCACAATATCTTGAATATGAAATTTTGTAAGGTCTATTTTTCTTTTCGTTTCTTTTTTTTGTTAATTAACTAAAATTCAGGCATATCTGAGCCACCGCCACCAGTATTCATTTTTTCACGTGATTCAGTCCATGCTTTAGCAATTGTTCGTTTCATTTCATCATCACCTGTTTCATACATATTCTTCATAAGTTGCATTAATGAATCGCCTGGATCTTTACTATCATCCATTTTTGGTAATTGTCTATTTATATGTTTTATTATAAATAATGAAGTTTTTTTTTTAATAATACAAACTTACTTTTCTGGAGCTTTCTTTTCATCACGAAATATGCATTCCCAACTTTTGGAATCTGCTTTAGCTAATGATACAATAACCATATCTTTTTTAACCTAAGTAAAAAGAAAATTTGTCAGCACAACTAAAATATGGAACTCACAATGTGTTCCTTAGCCTCATTTATACTAATCCAAAATATGTACAATGAAAAATGTCTAACAATTCTTCAAAAATAATCGATATTGATTATCTTCTTAATTTATAACTTGATCAGTTCATTCCTTTTTTTTTACTGATCACATGATGACTATGGCAAATTAATGCGTCATCCTTGACATCTGTAATATAAATTCAATAAATGTACTATTTAGAATGGTCACAAACGTATTCCAGCTATTCGAGTTTCGAGCAAGCCTTTTGGAATGTTCTAGAACAGTGTAAACATTAATATCATCGTTGCTGTTCAACGTCTTTTTTTCGTTATTAAGAAACTTCAAGAAAAGAATCTGACACCTATTGTCCTTGGTTGCTATAGGAACATGTCGGATGAGTTTTGGCCATATCATTCTCTCTCGTTACTATGGAAAGAAATCATAAATCGTAGACTTAAAATTGACACTCGTTCTATTTTTCTTCGGAAAACCTAATGTGAATCGAACAAAATAAGATAAATTTTTATTTACTTTATATGATGATTGTTCAGGTTTGATTTCATGTAAGAGACGACCTCGTTTAAATATATAATTAACATTTTTTAAATTAGCTATTTCAAGTGTAAAACCTCTGAAATTAAGAAAAAGTAAAATTAATAAATCATTAATAATAATGAAATTTTCTATTTACTGATCTTCAAATGAACAACGAACTTGGTTGGCAGGTAAATCACCAACACCATCTAAATTTTGAACGTATACTTTTACGAATTTATCCGTTTGATCCCAAGCTAAAAAAAGCAATCTTGTTTTCTTTTTAAAGATCAATTTTATTTATTTGTGTTTCATTACCATAAAGTGTTAAGTCTTTTGTATAAGAACGATTTGCTGATGGTGGTACAGTTACACTTTGTTTTTTTTCTACTGCTGATGCAGTATTTTGTTCTTGTTTTTCTTTAAGTGTAACTAAATCAGTTTCCAATCGACGTTGTTGAACTTCAAGAAATTGTTTTACTCGTGAACGATTTGATTGAGTAAGTAACTTTTTTATTTCATCAATATCAGCATTAAGCTAAAAATAAAGTATTGAATAGAATTCATTATTTAAACTTCAAAAAAAAAGTTTAAATGAATCGAAAGTTTTTTTTATTTTATTTCTGACTTCCTTGAAACTATTTTCAAAGAGTCAAAAGCTATGAGATGAATCTTTTGAAAGCTCAACAAAAAGTTTGCTTAAATGATGAATCCATAGGTATTTGCTGTCGCCTATAAGTTGATTGTTGAAGGTGCGAAAAATTATCGGAGTTGATCTTTTTGTCAAACGAATACTTCTCTACACAACGTTTTATTTAACTAAACTTTGAATGTTACCTAAGTGAAACTATAGGCACTTTTCTAAAAGGTCCTTTCTATACCAAATGTCTTTTGGTTAGGAAGTTGATTTTTTTTAAAATGAAGGTTTATGAAAAACAAAGATTGCAGTAACCTGTAGAAGGACAAAACGCCTATGAACTTTCGAATCGTTATAGTAAACGTACAAGAATGTATGGAATATAGTAATTTCCTATCCAAACTATATTTTCGAGCATTTCAAAGATGATCTTATTAGTTTTGAGAAAAAAAATTTAAGCACATATTCGGAAAGAACACTAAGTTCTGGTCATAACCTATAGCTTTTGACTCATCGAAAATATTTTCAAGATAGTCAAGAATAAACAAACATTTTCTCTCGAAACTTTCCATTCATCCGTTAATTTCGAGTTCTTACTTCTTGAATTTGTTGTTCAATACTGGCCATTCTCTTGATGAGTTTTATTTATCTGAAAAAATGTATTCAAATGGTTAATTAGAAAAAAAAAATAAAAATAATTGATTATTATTTCATAATAAATTTTGTGCACGTGCTTCTTTAATTACTGAAATGACACGTCTATTGAGTGGATTTAACTTTCCATTACTATCTTTTGCCATGGAATTTTCATCAATTTTTAAAAAAGATTTTTTTCTTGTAAATTGTTTTAAAGGAAAAAATGCTATGGAAGTTGTCTCATGATAATCATCATCAGTTGGTAGATCTTCGAATTTATAGTTTTCAAATTGTTCACATATATTCAAATCACATTGAGTTTTAAATATATAACAACGAAATATATCGTCATAAAGATTCAGGTCAACAAATGGACAAGTTCTTAAACGATCAATGTCACATGATACGAGGGTTCGAGTTTCTTCGTACAATTCTTCTATAGCAGTCTTTTCTATCCGTTGGGGTTCATCACAATTATATTTGATATAACCACCACAACAATTATAATTTTCTGTATAATCATAAACGAGCAACAAAGACGAACGTTTTGTATCGACAATAAGTACACCAGATCCTAGATATTTCTTTAAGTCAACAGAAGTCATCTGAAATGTAATGTAGAAATCGTATGTTTGAAATGAATTGATTGTTATGGATAAAACGAAAAGGTAATGATATTTCATGAGGATTTTATTAAATGTGCTTAAACTTCAATGAAAATGAATAATCATGAGTCAATATATTTTTTTGTGAAAACAGTAACCTCTAAAATCATAGTATGTAAAGTTAAAAGCAAAATTATATACCTATACAAATACATTAACTTTTGTTCTATCTGGCAAGATCATTATAAATTAAACAAAAATCAAAAATTAACAGTCCAAAAAAATCCCGTCACAACAGAAAATATTATGTAACGTGATTATTAATAATCGACTATGAAGAAGATAATTTTATATTCATTTTATTTAACACTAAGATAGTCAAATGAAATTATTAGAGAAAGACATAATTGTCACTGTATTAGTTTTTTTTACAAGGAATGCACTCTATATACAGTTTCCTTCTCAATAACTAATCAACTTGATCAAGTCTGAAAAGTTCTTGAATAATTTTTAAAGACAATAAAATAAATTTTTAAATTTCACGTCAAATAATATCGACAACTATACACAAAAGAAGTAATGTCAACATTATCGATGTACTACTATACGTTCAAGTACCATATGACAGAGATGTCATCGATACTGATCTGTCTTATTTACTTTTCTCCGAAAATTTTTCATTAATACTCAATACTATGTGAAAAATGAAAACATAATTTAAATATTATAGATTCTTTTCAAAGCTCTTTAAATAAAAAAAAAAATCACGCTTATTCTTAACACGATATACTAAAGTTTTAATATCATACTTTATAATAATAACCACACCCACAATATTTTCTGATTAATTAAAATATTAATATTTAATCTGAAATAAAAGTTAGAAGAATGATTAGATTTTTTTTTTCTTAATATAGAAAAAAAAAAATCTGTTATTAACATAAATTTAATTCCACTAAATTCTCAGAAATAGAACACAAGAGCATTCAAGACTAAATAGATACAAACAGTAAAACAAAGGAACGTTTATCGAAATCTTTTTAATAAATATCCGAATCATATGGAATTAAAGCATTAAGTCGATATGGATCACAATAACATCGAATTAATAATGTTGTTGGACTTGCATCAGCACTAAAAATGTATACATATTAACAAATTTCTTCTTTTCTTTTAATTATAAGAAAAAAAAAAACATACTTGCATATACCATTACAATGTTTTGGGACTGAAATAGCTACCGATTTGTTCGTTGTACCAGTTGTTTGTTGAGTATTATTTTCTTTTAAATTATAATTTTCACATATCATCATATCATCAGTATCATCTATTTCAATAATTGATGATGATAATCGTTCGGTTTCTACAGATTTAATTTTTTTTGTATTACAACTTGTTTCTACCTAAACCGAGAAATTTAAATGAATTTTTTTTATGATTATTAAAATTTTGTTGATCACCATCGTTCATAATTTTTTCAATTTTTGTAATGAACGATAAATCTCTTAGCAAATTTCAAATTTTGTACAGTTAATTTCACGCGATATATAAATGAATTTGATTAGCATTTATTTGAGTACGCAATAGATGCAAAAAAAAATCAGATTATTAACCTGTCGTATATATTCAGATGAATTGTTACAATAGGATATCCGAAGAAAGAGATGTTCGACTGTAGTTTCGAAAAGTTAAAACCAAAGAAAAACTTGTACCTGATTGGTAATGGATAGAATTCGTGCCGAAGGAGGATATACCTCATCATCTGAAATAAATTTTCGTTTGTTGCTATTTAAATTCTCAATTGTTGCATTTATCGTTGTCGTCATTATCTATTGTCTTTAGAATTCTATCTAAAAAGAAAAGTCATAAACATAAAATTCTTTTTTCTTTTCTCTATGATTGCTTTTGCATATAAATCTGAACGATTTTATCATTGAAAATGAATAGTTCATAAAATAATATAATTGTTATAAATATTTATCTAGAAATAACAAAAACAAGAATGTTGTTAATATTATTGTTATATTTATTTTAGGTTTTTTTTCGTGCTATTTCTTTTTTTAAAACTGTAACAGCATTTAATGAATTCGATAAAGGATTATTATGTTTCATTCGTTTAACATTTTTATTTATTGTATCTGATTTTCTTTTATTATTATTATTATTATTTGTTGATATTGGTTGTTCAGAATTTGTTGATGAAGTTTTTTTTAATGAATTTGGAATTAAATAATCAGGTACATGTTTTAAATGTTCTTTTACTTTAACAATATGTAATGCTGAATCATGTCTTAGTAATTGTAATTCTTTTTTATTATCATTAAAATATGTTTTTAATTTTTTTGAATTAAATATTTCAGATTTAATTTCTTTTAAACGTGCTTCACGTATTGATATACGTGTTATAGCACGTAAAGCATCTAATACACGATAACGAAAACCATCAACTTGTTCAGATTTAAAACGATATAAATGAAACATATCTTCACCATATTCATTTTCGAGTTCACCACGTACTATTTCAAAATATGGCATTTCTTTTTGTGATATTAATGAAAGAGCTAAACCTTAAATTAAAGAGAAAAAAAATATATCAATTAGAAAACATATTGAATTTTCAATTTTAATAACGCTTAAAAAAATGAATCAACTTTTAAAAAGTCATATTTTATTCAATTTTTCTTTTTCCAAGTAATTCGAGATTTTAAAAGAGTAAATATATCGTAAATGGAACAATAATCATAAATTTCGAGAAGGTAAATATAATCTGCAGAAAAAAGAAGAAATTACTCTCTCAATGTATACAGTGGGTATAACATTATTCAATACTCTCTCAGGCGAAATAGATTTGTCAAATTCTTATTCTTTCTAGATCACTTTTGAATATGGACGGAAAACTATTATTAGTGTAAGTAATTTATTTCTTCATAGTAAGTTAGTAAATGGAGAGTAATCTAAGAAAGGAAAAGATAATTAATAGAAAACATGAATAATAGCTTCTCACTAACTGCATCTTGAGATCAAACGTCAATTATGTGTTCCAGATCTCAATTCAAAACCAGAACTATTCTCAGATTCTATATGAACTTTGTCAGATCTTATTATATCAGACATAGTTTTTCTATCGAACACAGCCAGGAATCTGCTTGTCATGTTTTCTTTTCTGATATTATATACTCGAACTTAAGATTAACATGAAACTAATTTTTAAAACATTTTAGATCTTTCTATTATTTGAATCTTTGCTCTTTCTTCATTTATAAAAAATCTCATACTTTCTTCATAATTTCAATAGATATTGAATAACATAAAATATATCAATCGCTTATCTTTAACTTACCTTTTTGATCTACACGAGCAGTTCGTCCAACTCGATGAACATATGCATCAAAATCCATCGGAAAATCAAAATTAATTATATTAGCTACTCGATAAAAATCAATACCACGTGATACACCATATTCTTTATCTCCTTTTCGAGTTACATTTTCTGTTTTCTTCTTTTTCTCTACATAAAAAAAAAAAAAAAATTTTTTTAAGTTTCTCTCTGAAAAATAAAAACAATTATCATACTTTTTTTTGATTCTTTTTCAGGTTCTGTTTCTGTTTGTTCTTCTTCTTCTTGTTCTACGGGTACAGCATTTGGTGCATCTGTTGCAATCATTATATCATATAATCCATCATTCTAAAAAAAAAAATTAACGAAAAAAGAAAAGTTTAAATAACAAAATAAAAATTTTTATACTTACATATTGTTGAACAATATGTAAACGTGAATCCATAGGTAATTCACTATTTAATAAACAAGTTTTTATATGAAATTGTTCCATTAATAATTTTAATCTATATGCTTGTTCAACTGAATTAACAAATAATATTGTACGACCAGTTAATAATTGTAATTTTAATATTGTTATAATTAAAACAAATTTTTGATCATGTTCACAATAAATATAATATTGTAATAATTGTTTATTATCCGGTAATATTGTTGAATAATCATCATTTTGATTAATTTTAACTGGATTATGAAGAAATAATTGTTTTAATTGTAGAATATCATTATTAAGTGTTGCTGATATTAAAAAACATTGATATGATTTAGATTTTGATGGTAAATATTTTGAAATTTTTTTCATATCATTTGCATAACCAAGTGAATAAAGTATATCAGCTTCATCAAGTATAAATAATTCTAATGTATTTAAATTTAATAATGATGTATGATCTTTTAAATGTTCAAGTAATTTTGTTGGTGTTGATATAATTATTTCTGGTAATGAATTATTATTTAATAATAATGATTGTTTTTGTATTTGTGTTGATAATGAATTTGATAAATCATATAAATTAATTTCACGACGACAATAAGTTATTAATTTAAAT